GTTGTGCGCTGCAAAACTAGCCAAAAGTGAAAATATGCTAGCAGTGCTTTTGTTCGGTAAAAAATATGAAAATCAAGCGCATGCTAGTGAAAGTGAATTGCCAAAAATTATGCTAGTGTTAAATTTGCAGCCTAGGAGCCCCGTTTGCTGAAGGAACAAATCATGTAAAACTATTATCCTGACAGGTGTTTACTTTGTTTTATTTAACGAAAGCGCGACCAAGATGTACATTGATCGCCGCCACCCGTCAACTTCTCCCTTGGAATCATTTTTTGACTCTGCCCTCCCCCCACCTTAACTCCCTGTAAGTTCTAGGAACAGGGCTGAATGGAAAGAAAACTACTTAGAAAAAAATTTCGAAAAGTTTGGATTTACCTCACGAGGTTGTCGTGTTTGTTTGGGAACTTCTGGAAATGCTGATCCATTCACTGCCGGAAGTTGCCGGAAATTCAAACCGGAAGTTCTGGTTGAGTTGGTTCACAAATACACTGTCCTCAGCAAAGGCGTTTTTGAGCGACGTACGCTAATCACAAGTGGACTTTCTGCATTCATGAGCAAGTTCATTAAGAGAAAATACAGTCGCAGCACAAATGCAAATGTGGTAACGTCTCATGACGACACATTAAAATGGAAAAGTCCTCACTTCCGGTTGACATGCATCGTTCAAAAACGCCTTTGCTTAAGCTCCCTATTGGGCCAATTGACCACTCCAGAAAATACCATAACATACCATAATACTCTTTGTTAGTTACTCCATTGTCTTCAGTTTCTCTTAGGAGTTAAAATGGCCTCAATTGCAAACAAAACTGAAAACAATGTTTATGTTAAATTTTGGAGTGACAAACAAAGAGTATTATGGTATGTTATTGTATTTTCTGGAGTGGCCAATGGTGCGTTTCCCTGACCCCAAACAATACTAAAACAATAGAAAGAATGACATGTCATTGTTTCCTGCGACCAATTAGGAGAAACCTTACGAACAGCTCCTACACTACTGCCCTATTGGACATGCATAAAAACCACGGGCGTCAAAATGAAGGGCGTCGGCCATTTGTGCTTGATAAAAAAGCTATAGCTCATGATATTTCGAGTTAAAACTTGTGTGTAAATGAATCCAAAACCATCCGAAAGGTATCTGGTCGCTTTGCCATCAAGAATTGGACTTAGCTCATTATTTTCCCAAGTATAAATGAGAAATGAAAAGAACTTTCAGGAAAATGTTCTTTAAAAGGTTACTTAATCATACTTCAAATTAGCCGATGATTGTGAGACGTTTCTACGTCCATTTTTTCTATGTCATTCTGTGGGAGGGAAATGTCGAACTTAACATTAATCAAACTTATCAGTATTTGTTGTATTATGATCACGAAAAAATCAGCATAAAGATCGTCAGTTATGCGATCGACAGTTCAGTGACAGTTTTGCATTTGTGTCAACTTTAAATTCGTATAGGCTTGACACCCTTGGTAAAGTGACGGAAGGTTTTTCCGCTGAGCCGTCACTTCTCTGTAGGACCAGGATCAAACCACTAACTGGTACAGCAGTAGATGAAACAGGACTAAACTTTGGTTCCAACAGCGTTTATTCTTCAGCGGATCAAATAACAATAACTCAGGCAGGAAAAGGCGAAAATAATCGAAAAACAGTAAAAACTAGCTCACCGGTACTTACATATGATTCTTCTACAACCATTGAAGACAAAAGAATACAATAGAAATATAGACAGAAATCGCTTAGAGTTAAATGAAAATTAATTAAAACTCTATTTTTAACCTGAAATCTTTTATTACCGTTGTTATTTTAGACTCTGTTTACTTTGAGTGGGGGACCCCGGTTTAGTGGGGTAGGTCTCTTTTGTTTTGTGTCCCCCAGAGCGCGAAAACAAAAGAAACCAACCTCACTAGACCGGGATCCCCCACTCCATGTAAAAAGGCCCTAAGAAAGTAAAAGTACAGTTCTGAAATAAAGACCTTGTAGCCAGGTCAGCAAAACAGCCTTTAAGTTCAAAGTATTATAACATGAATGAAAATACAAGTTCAGCGAGCGGCTGTTTCAATAGAAAGAAGCGTAGACTAATTGCAAGCCAGTTTTCACCTTAAACAAAAACCGATCTATTAAAAATAGACAGCGAAACCTTTCATATTCAAAATTCACCTGTTGCTCTATTTGACTAACAACTTAATGAAATATTTGTTCTCAAACAGACGGCTAAATTACAATTAAAACAAGGTGCACGATCATCTGCATATAGTAAACAATTGATTTTGTATTCTCCCATGATCAAGGGATCACAATTCAAGTGGAATCAAATATATCAACAATGTTATTTACAAACATGTTACATAATGTTGGGCTCAGGTTACAAACCTGTCGTACCCCTACGAAAGGAGTAAACGACGCCGTTAGCCCGCTTTTTACTTTTACCGCTGAAACAACTCGATCTGTCATACATGCTTTTGAATAGAAATATAATCTTCTGAGAAAATCCATATTTCATTAG